CTTTTTAAATGGTAATATTTATCAGGTTTCTCTGATCCTACCAGTTTAGCTGCTGCCTATAAAAACTAAGACATCCATTTTCCTGACTATTAAAATTTCTTTATAAGTTTTTGTCATATGTCTGGAGAAAGTGATAACATTTAGTGACTCAAAGAATAAATATAGGACAAGTCATGCATTGCTTAGATTCCTTGATTGACCAATATCTATGTGTTCTTGGGAAAATCATTCATTCATTCACTCAAGAAGTCCATCCTAGGCCCTGAGCTTATGACTGCTTACAATACAGGTAGGATGGCCATCAGGGGCCCAACTTTTCATTAATTGTCCCTGGAATTCAGTCTCCTCCTCCATAAATGTATGTAAAAGTCCTAAGTGTTCAGTATTGGTGATTTGCATAAGGCACTTATCACAGCACCTGGGAGGTTGTAATATAGCTCAGCCATCAGGATGATGATCCGCTTGGTTACGGTGATATTTATGCTCATCATTCATTCCACCAATTTGCTAAAATTAGCCAAATATGGGAGAGTAAACCCTTCCTGCCAGTACTAATATTGCTCCCTATCCAGGATGGGCAAATCTAAAGACTCTTGTATACACCTGATATGTAGGAAAGACTTAGCTTTTGAACTTCTCTTAGACAAAGAACAAAGTAAGTGAGATGAGAAGCATTCCATGCATTGGATTGACACTGTATCAGACCAGGGGTCATGTGGGTTCCCTCTCTCTTGGAAACCTTTATAGCTATAAGGAAAGCCAGGACACTGTAGCCTGCTGAGGGATGGGACACGTGGAGCTGCATATGACCATAGGTATGCAGCTGGGCTCAGCCTAAATTTGTACCCACAGAACTATGAGTTAAATTAATGGTTTCATTTGAAGCTACTAAATTTGGGGATAATTTGTTATGTGCCAAGAGCCAACTCATACAATGGTGTTTTTACTTGGAATGTCCTTTATCTGAAATTCTTTTATGTAAACTGTTATACAGAGTTAAAATTCCTGTCTAATTCCATCTCTTCATAAAATTCTATTCTAAGAATTGTAGCTTTTTAAAAATATATATATAAAGAATAACTTCGCACATCTTCATAAATCAGCAGAGTGATGATTTGAACTCAACTCATGTGACTTTAGCATCGGGGCAGGCTTCTTATTTTGAACTATCAAACTATTTAACACGAGAAGATTTTCTGTAAGAACCACAATCTTCTGATTAAGTTTCTAAATGTTTTTTTAAATATAAAATAATGCACAACAATTAAAACAATACATAAATTGTCACAAGTAAAGGAAAGCATGAACTCACCCTCAAGAGATAACTAATAGGGTACAATCATGTGTCACTAAACTATGAAGACGCAGGCTGAGAAATGTATGTTAGGTGATTTTATCTTTGTGGGAACATCCTTCACCCTTGTGTACATCCGCAAGCCGAGGTGGCATAGCCTACTGTGCACACAGGCTATAAGGTACAGCCTCCTCCTAGACTACGAACCTGCATAGCATGTCATTCTACTGAATATTGTGAGAAATTGTAACACAATGGTAGGTATTTCTGTATCAAAACATATCTCACATAGAAAAAGTATAGTAAAAATGCAGTATAATAATCTTACAGGACCACCTGCATGTACGTGGTGCTGCATCACTAACCCAAATGTTGTTATGTGGCACGTTATCGTGTCTGTGCACCTTGATAACCTTGTATGTGTGCATCTGTCAGATAAAAATCAGAACATAGCACACATATTACCTTGTAACCAGCATAATTTATTTTAGTAAAGCACCAGTTATTGCATATTTACATTACTCCAGGGATGCTCTGGTTGCAAGGAATGGATACACTCTCATATATTAATAAGGTGTATTTACATGTATGTTGAAGGTGGCAAGGTCAGTGACAAAATAACGTAGATTGTTGCAGGAAAATTTCTCCCTCTTCTTTCTCAGCAATTGGTCATGGAATTAAAATCCTATCTAACCTCTCTCCTCCATATAGAATGGGATTTGCTCAGTGTGTACTTGTCTTTGGCTTGACAGGACTTTTCATGAAGCAGAGACCACCACTGTCTTGCTTTCTGTTGAACTTTGACCAATTTTAGAGAAAAAGAAAATGATTCAGTCCAACTACAGGTCATTGAACAAATAAACTGTGCATGTGTGTAGTGTTGGGGATAGATAGGGAGCATTTCATGGTACTTTATTTTTCTTCTTTCCTGAGTGAAATTTGGACCAGGGGAATTTGCATGATGGAATTTGCATGATGGTGAACTTTCTCATGTAGGCAGACTCACCTTGTATTCTTCTAAATCATGCAGAGTATGGATAATGGCTACAAGCAATGGTTTTTAAAACTAAAACTTAGAAAACAGTTTTTAAAATCAATCAAACTTCCAACTGCTTCTGGGCACATGGTGCACCACATTTATTATTTGTGGAAAATGATGACTGGAGTATTTTATTTCAGGTAAAGCTTTGTTTGGGCGAAATTGTTGTGATATCCACTTTGTTTTTTATTAAATTGGTTTATTACAGTTTGTTTTCATTCAAATCACCTGCAGCAAATCCAGAACCACCTTGAATGCAAGATGTAATCACCCCAGAGAAGTTTTGATTACTTGGTCTGGGGTGTCTTCTGGGCCTCGGTTTTTAAAGCTCCTTAGGAGATTTCAGTGTGTAGCCAAGTTTGAAAACACTGATCAAAGGAGTCCTCCACAGGGGTATTTACAGGACTTCACAACAAAATCAAGGAAAAGGCCAACATGTTTTCTAAATATTTATGGACTTAAAAATGTCTATCACTATGGCTTTGGAAACAGTTTCAATCCATTATCATTTCATGCTGAATTTGCAGTCAGATAAAAAACACTAAAGAAAATTCTTTTCACTTATCTTATTTGAACTTGCTAAGGTAGGCAAGATAAGTACTATTATCCATATTTTAAAAGTGAGAAAACAGATTTAGAGAGGCCAGAGGCACTTTACAGTATCTAGGAAAGTTGGAGGTATGTTAGTACTCACACCACTCCTTGCTGAACTTTTCTCTTGTCACTTATCAAGCACAACTTATGTTCTGTGTTTGTGTTTAGATCTCATTTCCAGTTAGGCTTTGAGCTCTTTATTCACTTGTTATTCATTTGTTCATTCATTATCCAGTCATTCACTTAGGATGCTTGGTGTGGGGGAGGGGAGTTTGATTTGTTTTGTTTTGTTGGAGGAGGTTGAGTTATATGGGAGCTACAGTTGTGAACAAGATGGAGATCATAGTCTCTGCCTTAGAGAGCTTGGAGAGTAGCGATGGAGCAGGCAGGCAAGTAGGTAGTTAACATAATAATAATTATTATTATTGAGACAGAGTCTCACTTTGTCACCCTTGTTAGAGTGTTGTGGTGTCATAGCTCACAGCAACCTCAAACTCCTAGGCTTAAGTGATTCTCTTTCCTCAGCCTCCCAAGTAGCTGGGAGTACAGGTGATGGCCACAGTGCTGGGCTATTTCTGGAGACCAGTCTTGCTCTGGCTTAGGCTGGTCTTGAACCTGTGAGCTCAGGCAATCCACCCGCCTAGGCCTCCCAAGTACTGGGATTACAGACATGAGCTACCCACCCGGCAACATAAAATTAACATAAAACCTGCAAAGAGGGGACACTAACTAATTCTTTTTTTTTTTTTTTGAGACAGAGCCTCAAGCTATCCCCCTGGGCAGAGTGTCATGGCATCATGCTCACAGCAACCTCCAACTCCTGGGCTCAAGCGAGTCTCCTGCCTCAGCCTCCCAAGTAGCTGGGACTACAGGCGCCCGCCACAACGCCTGGCCATTTTTTGGTTGCAGCCATCATTGTTGTTTGGCGGGCACGGGCTGGGGATTCGAACCCGCCACCTTAGGTGTATGTGGCTGGCGCTTTAGCCGCTTGAGCCACAGGCGCCAAGTCACTAATTCTTAAGAGAAAAGAGAAGTAGGGTGAGAGTAAACGCTTTACAAAGGAAGAGGATGCAAAATCTAAGCTAAAACTTGACACACGAGTAGAATTTACCCATGTGAGAGAAGCTACCTTATTCCCTGGTGTAAGGAAAGGCACAAATTGAAGAGAGAGAAAAAGTTAGGAGTTGAGAGAGAGAGACCTGAAAGTGGGTCGGTCAGTATGAAAATATTAGGGTGAGGAGAAGGATAGATTAAGCTGAAGAGAGAAGGTAAGGGCTCATCGCGAAATGGCCTTGTACCTTACAAGCCATTTTAAGGCTTTTGTATTGCTCTAGGAACAAAGCAGGGTTTATGAAAAGCTTTAAGCAGGGCACACGATGGTATGTGTGTTTCAGAGATCTGGCTGTTCCAGAGTGTCCTCCTGGATGATTAAGCTAGGCTTACACAAATGGAAAAAAAAAAATCCCACAATTTTGGCTGCTGGGACAGAGAAAAATATTCAAATAGAGTTACGTTTTGGAGTTGGGCACCATGGGCCTTCCTACAGCTTTGATTTGATTTGGCAGTTCAAGAGAGGCCCCAACGATGACAGCTGGGCTGAGCTACTTGGGAAGCAGTTGTGCTATTCCCTGGTTTAGTGATTGCATTATGAGGGGAGAAGCTACACTGGAAAGAAATAGTGGATTCATTTTCAGATATGTTGCATCTGAGGCATCTGGGCTGCTTTTTACAACTGGGTTCACCACATAAAATATACTCCATAAGAGTTTTTGTATTTATCATTGTACAGTCCAAGTTTGCAAGATTCCACCAAGCACTTTACTACTGGAAATGACCAAAGTGGGAACCTCCTCCCCTCTACTAAATCCAATGAGGACGTTTGTTAAAACTCATTCGCCTGCTCTTTAGACCTGGTTGGCAATTGCGCATGCACGATATGTAACCCAGGCTCCAAGCTCCCAGGTCTCCGAAGCGCGAAAAAGCGGTTTCCCCCTGCTGGTCGGACTTGAGTCATGCAGCTCCAGGAGAGGAAATTCCTGGGGGCGTGGTAGCTGGTGATGACGTAGCCGAGCGACGGGGCAGTTATGCTTTCGTCAGCAGCGCGCGCCGTGGGAAACCTGACAAGCAGCATGGCTGCAGGTTGTTCAGAAGCGCCGCTGCCGAAGACGGCCTCTGATGGGTCCCTGATAGGATCGGCAGGCGTCCTGCCTTGCCTAGAGCTTCCTACCTATTCTGCTGCTTGTGCACTGGTGAATAACCGCTATTCCTGCTTGGTGGTCGGGCCACACCGAAGGCACATCGCGCTGTCGCCGCGCTACCTGAACAGGAAACGCACCGGCATCCGAGAGCAGCTGGATGCAGAGCTCCTTCGCTATTCCGAGAGGTAACAAGGGCTTCTTGCCTTTTTTTTTTTCTCCGAGCAGGCAATGATATAGCGTGGGCCTGCCACTCCTTTGCGGGGGGGGGCACGGGAAGAGGCAGTGGGTGGATGAGGTGAAGTGATGGCGCAGAAAGAAAGGGGTGAAAGATGAGTTCGCAGAGGCCCCCAGGTTTCCAGAGTCGCGATCTGCCTCTCAAAGCCAGTACCGGCCTGGTCGAGATCTATACAGCGTGCCTTTCGTCCATCGGCAGAGAAGAAAACTTAAAGGTGAAGTTGAAGTGTTCCGCGAAGGGAGTGAAGAATTTCACTCCAGAACCCTGTTGTATGAGGAAGAATAGAACAGGGGCCCGCAGATTTGGTAGGCCTCTTTGGCACTGAACGCTACATTTAGTCTCTTTCAGGTAATACTGTATTTTCTCAGTTGGCAATGAAGATTTGGTATGCAGTACTTCGGTAGATTTTCTCATTCCATAGAAGATGGGAGCAAAAGTACAACTGTTTAATTGTACAACCTGAAGGGCAGATTTTGATTGTTTGGGCCCTGTTAATTTGCCCGGATTTTTTCTCTGGGACCCGATCGGGGATGAGGAAAGTACCATTAGTTTTGCTTTGTTTTTAAAGAGTTTTTTCATTTGGACTGATGAGCTTATTGCTCTTGAGAGAGAAAAGAAACCAACAAACTCTTGGTTGCCTTTAAATTAAGGTATTCAAAAGTGATATGAAAACTCAGAATTATTGGGGTATGAGAAGATATGTTTTAGTATTACTCTGGACTACTTGATTCAAAAGAAGGGATTCCCTAGAGATTGATGATTGCCCATCAGAAATCCCATGAATCCTCAGAAATTGTAGGAATTTTTTAATGTGAATATCCTTAGGCACAGTATCCAAAGCTTTCAACACTCTCAGTGGACCCTGGACCCCCACGAACGTCTTAAGAATCAAGCATGTCTAGAATACACACCTTACCCCTAGCACCAACACACATTTGTTGTATGTTTATATTATAAACCAGGAACCTGACATATAAAAACAAAAAAATAAAATTCTGTTTCAAGGAGCTTTAACTTTTAGTAGAGATATAACTGTAAGACAGTTAATCTAGTGACATGTTCAAATTTAACAGAAATCTAAAGGTGTAGTAAGAGAAGAAGTGATGAATTGGATCTTGCGACCCTTGAGAACAAGTAAAAGAAGGTCCTTTCAGTTGGTAACATTCCAAGGAAAGAGAGTGGCATAAACAAGTGTGTAGTATGTTGAACTACTATGCTTTGACCAGAGAAATATAAGTACTATATAAGTGGAATAAGGTTTATGTCAGCAAAAAGGCATTGGGTACCATTGGAGAGGAGGTCAGGGGTTCAAAGGCAGGTGTTGGAGGTGACTCAGAGAGGATAGCCATTTTGCTCTTCCTTTCTTGCCTGATAGTTTGTAGTTTTTTTGGTTTTTTTTCATTCGGCTTTATGAGTTTTTTGTCATTGTTATTTTTTTTTCTTTCTCCTCTAGGGGGTTATTTCTTTAGTCTCTCAGTATCTTCTGACACTGAGACTTGGCACAGTCTTCAGTAGTGTGTATCTATAATCCCTGACACATAATCATATTTACAATTAAAGGACAGCACCTGATAATGCCATGTAATGACTTAAATAGGATATGATAGTGACTGAGGAGGCCAATTAAGAGGTTATGTTGTCAAAGATAAAAATGATACAAAGGATGGATTTGAGAGATTTATAAATATACAAAGCAGTCATTAAGTCTGGAAACAGACAATTATGTTACTACTTTCTGTAACCAATTGTTGCCTCTACTTGACATTTTAGGGGAAAGTCACCCAGCCTGGTGCTGACAGATAGAGACTCCTTTCTCATTACTTATGTGATATGCTGAGGACTCCTGTTTATTCAGTACAAATCAGACATTATACTTTGAACTATATACATTACTAATGAAGGACAAGGCTTGAACAACTTATTAAATATCAAGTGAAGCTACCTCACTGCACTAACACCTATTTAGGATGATTTCTGAAAAGTAAAAACAAAAGAGGAAAAGATATGTAGGTGTGTTTGGGTGTCTGTCTTTATCCTACAACTTTTAATTAATAAGTTATGCTATGATTTCCTTTCGCACAGGTTTTTTTGATTTATACAAACTTTCAGCCTTCAAGTCTCTTATCATATTCTCTAGTCATCTTTCTGAACCCTAGAGTACCTAATACTTCCTTTTTATAAGAAATATTTTGTGATATTACCTTTACTATGGTGAAACACTCTCCTGTGCTGAAATGAAATCTATAGTTAATATAACCTACGTAACACAATTTCCAAAAAGAAAAAGTCTATGGAGTACTGCGATACAGTGCAACAAAATGTGTTTTGCTATGCTCAAGCATGACTACCTGGGAATACTGATAGTTAGAGCCCTTCTGCACCAACCTCAAAGATGCACTGTGAATGCTTAGTTTCAAGGTGGACTGATGGCAGATGTTTTGAATAGAAAACTCGCAACATACACAGTACTTCCAGTTACCAGTTACCAATGCTTTTCTGAAATAGTTGAGTAATTATTGGTAAAAAGCCACACAGAACAGTCTCCCCTTGAATTTCCATATCACTATATTCCTGTGGATTCTAATGTGAATTAAACCATACAAAGATGACTGCATCAATATGTCTTCTAAGAGATTATAATTGTCAAAGAGAAAAATGATTAGGAAGGATTATATATCTAGCTATTTATAAGCGAGTTTGTCCTCTTATTCAAAAGTCATGCAGAGCAAAGGCTCTTTCTACATTGTATAGGACTGTCCTGTACATGGCAGACTAACTTCCCTAATTCTGTGTGTGTGTGTGTGTGTGTGTGTGTGTGAGAGAGAGAGAGAGAGGGAGGGAGAGACAGAGTCTCACTATGTGGCCCTCAGTAGAGTGCCATCGCGTCACAGCTCACAACAACCTCCAACTCTTGGGCTTAAGCGATTTTCTTGCCTCCGTCTCTCAAGTAGCTGGGACTACAGGGCCCTGCCGCAACACCTGGCTATTTTGTTGTTGCAGTTGTCATTGTTGTTTAGCAGGCCCAGGCTGGTTAAAACCCGCCAGCCTCCGTGGTTGTGGCTGGTGCCCTAACCACTGTACATGGGCGCAGAGCCACTATCTTCCCTAATTCTTACAGTGTTTGTGATGACCACACACAGCTAGCCCACACGTGCTACCTGGGAGACAGCAGTTCTCCTTGCACAGAAGAATCACTCTCTGATAGTTAAGAAGGCTTTTATTAGGGGAAGCAAAGTCTTAAATTGTGGTTTTTATATCTATCATAGCAGTTACTTTTTTTTTCTTCCTGCTGTCTAACTGTATTTTCTGTGTCTCTAGTATTTTCATCATAATGGCATGGAAACACCAGGAAAAGCCACATGCAGAAATGAGCTATTCACAAGAATGCTTTCCTGATTACGTCACTGAGTTTATGGTTTTGTAATTTGGTAGTTATTAAAGTTTCTTTACAGTGGCTCCTGTTTTACTCAAATAACATCTATTAAGGATAGATTTTTCCCTTATTTTATGTGAGTCATGCTAAAATGTAATTGAATTCAATAACAAAGAAAAGTTTTCTGCTGCCTTAGAATCATGTATGGAATCCAAATATAAAGATAGATTCAATAAAATTAGATTAAGGTTAAAAACAGTGATAAAGTTGTACGTGGGGTCCTAGAGGAGTAGATGAGTGCTTTTAGCTTTACCTGGGAGAGTCAGATTTTCTCCAACAAGTGGTGGATATGGTGGTGAAGACACAAGATCGTTCTCCTTAGTAGTTATAATTCCTTAAGAAGTAGGAAATGATATTCTAAAAAAGTCGCCCCCTAATCCTGAATTTATGGACTAAAGTGTCAGGAGTCAGCTCTTAATAAATGATATAGTTTGTATTAAACATTTCCATTTACTAGCGACAGTTACAGTTTGGGACTGTTCTCTATTAAGTCATTGGCTTTCATATTCAGGGGCTTCCACTCTAACAATAATGCTTCCCTTACTACACACCCACCATCAAGTACAGAAATTCAATAATGGCAGATAATACCAAAATTGCCTGTGAGTTAGTCTTATACTAAATACACAAACATCTTCCTTGCTAAGTCTTATTATTTCTCTTTCTACCGTAACTAGATTTCAGATAGGTAGCAAATAGAGAAGAAGGGTCAACTTATTGCTCATACATAATTGGGCATTTTGTTTCTGAATATCTGTCTCAAATAGTCATTAACTTTGCCAGCACCTTGGAACCCTGGGGTGAGATGGGACTGCTGTAGTTACAAACTAATCATATGCTGTTGTGTTTTTGATATGGGTGATGTATTTAGGAGATACCTGCATTTTGGATCATTAGAATAGCTACTAAGTATGACAGTGGCTTAGTTTAAAAGAGAATAAAAGATATTTTCTCCTTCTGTCTTTTACAGCCTCTTAGGTGTCCCCATTGCATATGATAACATCAAAGTTGTGGGTGAACTAGGCGATATTTATGATGATCAAGGACACATTCATCTTAACATTGAAGCAGATTTTGTTATTTTCTGCCCAGAACCAGGGCAGAAGCTTGTGGTATGTATATCATTTTTTCTAGCTTTCTTTGTCTATAATTATGTCATTTAGAAAATTTTAAGAGATTATATATCCTTTGGAATAAATTGCTATTGTGAGTAAAAAAAAATTTTTTTTACAACAAAAAACATTAGGTTTTGTTAGTGTTAAACTTCAGGATCCTAAAACACACGCATGCACGCCACATATGTCCCGTCCAGTTTATTCTTTGGATTAGTACCAGAGTGATCTTAAGGGAAAATAATCAATTATTATTGTTATTATTTTAAAACTTTTCAGTTCCAAACAAATACTTTTTCTTTATAAAGGATTCGAAGAGTATAGCATTATATAAAACAGGAGTAATGAAAATGAATGAATGAGGATAGGGTAGCTGGGCTGTGCCTTGGAAATAAAGGCTGTGGGCAGCGCCTGTGGCTCAAAGGAGTAGGGCGCCAGCTCCATATGCCAGAGGTGGCGGGTTCAAACTCAGCCTCGGCCAAAAACTGCAAAAAAAAAAAGGAAATGAAGGCTCTTTGTGGAAGTTCTTCCAGGTTTTCAGAAGCTAGAAATGGAGAAATTGATGTGAAATCTACTGAAGTCTATACGTTTATCCTTTTTATTTTCCTTTCTCTTCTTCCAGTAGTGCTATGTGTGTATACATGTGTTCATATGTGTATGCAAATTTGTATGTGCGTGTGTATATATATTCCTTTTCCTCTAGGTAATAAAATTTATAGAATTGCTTAATCTAATAGATTAGAATTATTAACCCTTGATACTGTTAATACAAATGTTGATCAGATTTCACTATGAAGAAATGCACAAGGCACTTGTAATTTATTTATTTTTTTTCAGTATCAAACTAATGGAAATAGTATCTTTTGCCAGCCAAACTGGGATCATAGAACTGTAATCATACTATTAAAGTTGGCAGTATTTTTGTATTCTAACATTCTCAAACTCGCACCTGTTTTGAGTAAATTATTATTATAAATGTAAACACATATGTGGAAATAACATTCAAGTTGTAAATAAAGTGTGGAATGAAAAATGTCCCTTTTATTCTATTCCCTGTAAAAGTCAGTCCTTAAATACTTTTTTTTTTTGCAGTTTTTGGCTGGGGCTGGGTTTGAACCCGCCACTTCCAGCATATGGGGCTGGTGCCCTACTCCCTTGAGCCACAGGGGCCGCCCTATTAAATACTTTTTTGCGGGGGCTGGGGCTGAGTTTGAACGCGCCACCTCTGGCATATGGGGCTGGCACCCTACCCCTCTGAGTCACAGGCACCGCCCTCAATCCTTAAATACTTTTAACCAGTTATTTTCAATTTGTATTTGTGTTTAGTGAGATTTAATTTACATATAATAAAATGCACAGATTATTTTGTTCATTTCAATGAATTCTGATAAGTCCATATACCATTCCATCTCCTAAGAAAAACCTCTCATGCCCTTTCCTGGTTAATTTCTTCTCTATCCCTGATATATCTACTATTTTGATTTTGTTTATTGTAAATTAATTTTGCTTATTCTGTAATTCCATGTTAATGAATATTATTGTCCACTCTTAAAATTTGACTTCTTTTAGTCAGCATATTTTTGAGTTGCATCCATGCTCTCGTGTATTGGTCCTTTTTATAGCTCATGGTATTAAATTGTATATGAGTATATCACAATATAATTATTCATTTTCTTGTACATTTAGATTATTTCTGGTCTGGGGCCACTATGAATCAAGCTGTTGTAAACATACACATTAATTTCTCTTAAGTGAGTAACTAGAAGTGGAAGCATTAGGTCACAGAGGAGATGTGTGTTTATGATAAACTGTTGCCAGACTGATTTCCGATTCAGCACTTCCAGTTTCTCTGAATCCTTGCCGACATTTGGTGGTATTAGTCTTTTAACTTTCTTGATAGGCATATGGTGGTGTCTCGTTATGATTTTAATTTGCCTTTCCTTCATGAGTAATTTTTATATGTGAAAGGCCTGCTCAAGTACTTTGCCCATTTTTAATTATTGGATTTTAATAGTTCCTTTTTAATATTGGTAGAAATCCTTTTCAGATAAATGTATTGTAAATATTCTCCCCCACCCCAGACTGTGACTTGTCTATTAACTTTTACTGCTATCATTTGATGAGTAAGTACTTTTAATTTTGATGCGTTCTGAGTTGTCCTTTTATGCTTTTATGGCTATTGCTTTCTGTATCTTTTCAGAGAAACTTATGTAGACACCGTTGCTGAAGATATTCTTCTGTAAACTTTAAGAAGCTTTTATTTTAGCTTTTCCCTTTAGGGCTGCCACGAGTCTTAAGTAATTTTTTGTATGTAGTATGAAGGCCTTGCGATTTTATTTTCTTCTCCATGTAGCCATCTAGGTGTTCCACATCTACATATTCAAAAGTCTTTTCTTTCATTGAGTTCGTTAATTGATAGACCTTTTTTTCTAGCAATTTTAAGTTTATAGAAAAATTCAGTAGGGAGTACAGAGTTCTCCTGTATGCCCCCCAAACACACATTTGCCCTTATTACTGACATCATTTTGTGTTAGTGTGGTGCATTTTTCACAGTATTGACCAATATCAATACATTGTTATTAAAGTCAGAAGTCATAAAGTCACTGGGCGCCTGCGGATCAGTGGTTAGAGCACCAGCTCCATGCACCAGGGGTTTGAACCTGGCCCCACCTACTTAACAAAAAAATAACAACCCAAAGTCAGTAGTTTACATTAGAGTTCAGTCTTTGTGTTACACATTCTCTGACTTTTGACAAATGCTTAGTGCCATGTGTCACCATTACAGTGTCCTACAGGATAGTTTCACCCCCCGGAAGCCCCCTGTGCTCTCCCTATTCATTTCTCTCTCCCTCTCTCCCCTCAATCCCTGGCAATCATTGATCTTTTTACTGTGTCCCTGGTTTTGTATTTTCTATGTCATATATAGTTGGAATCATACAGTTTATATCCTTTTCACATTGACTTCTTTCACTTGCCAATTTGCATTTAAGATTCCTTTGTGTCTTTTTATGGATTGAGAGCTTATTTATTTTTATTGCTGAAAAATATTCCATTTTTATGGATGTAGCATAGTTTATTTAGATCTTCCAAAAACTACCAGTGAGGACACCAGAGTTCTGATCATGACAGATGAGGAAGTTTTATTATGTCACATATGTAAAGGTTGCTGATGTTAAGCAGCACTGTGTATATGTCAATATTATTTAGAGTCTTCTGATTCAGAAAATGTAAATTTTTCTTTGATATTTCAGGGTCTTTAGTTACATACCTTGTGTATGTTAGTCTCAAGGGGAAAAATCAGTTTTGTGGAAAGTTTTATTTTAAGCTTAAAATCAGCACATAGTTTGTTGGGTTTTTTTGTAGTTTTAAAGCTTCTAATAATGTTTTTGTGAGTTAGCCAAAATAGCCATGCTCAAGCTTTACATACATGGTGGCCATAAAGTGTGCAATTTAAAATATAATGTGGGTCCCAGTTGTAAAAAGTATGTTTCCTGCCTCGAGGTCTTTTCAAATGTAGGTCATATCACAGAGTACTTTTTGCTTGGTTTTAGTGTGCTTAATAATTTTAGAGTAATAATCTATTCCCCAAGGAATCCTCTAATGGAGACTAAGGTGTTTTGGCAGGAGGAAGGAGTGATTAGTAGTTTATCCAGTTGGACAATTGATGTGCAGGTACTTATTTAATAACATTTGAGCCTTTTAAAGACATGGTAGTGTTCTAAAGTGATGTTTTGGTGTGACATGTGGTAAGTTTAGATTGAGGTAAACTTTTTCTATATTAAATTATAGGAGAACCTCTGTAAGTTGACTACCCAAGGGATAGTCACGAACTAGTCAACCTACTGAGGTGGTCAACATAAGGAACTAGGCCTACTGCACAAATAAGCACACGCGGTGCATGGCAGGTCTATGAAAATTAGGCCCACTTAACGAGGTGGTCAACTCTGGAGCTTCTGTTGTGTATCATTAATTTGATGTTTTCTCGTTGAAGATCCATTGGAGGCTCATGAAGTTTAGTTTACCTTGAACTCTGTGGATCTCTTCTTAATGTTTTGCCCTTTCTTCCTCTGTCTTTCAGGGTAGAGTTAATAAAGTGTCTTCTAGCCACATAGGCTGTTTAGTCCATGGGTGTTTCAATGCTTCCATTCCTAAACCGGAGCAGTTGTCAGCTGAGCAGTGGCAAACTGTGGAGATAAATTTGGGTGATGAACTAGAATTTGAAGTATTTCGTTTGGATTCAGATGCTGCTGGAGTATTCTGCATTCGGGGAAAACTAAATATCACCAGGTTAGTTCATCATCACCTAATTATCATTGGGTACTTGATCATTTCTCCTCAATTCTGATGGTAGTGGACATAAGCTGCTCTTTAAAAAAAATCTATTTATAGCAGTATTCATGCTTTCAAATCATAAAGTCAATATAAATAGCAATCTTACTCTATAATAATGCAACAAATATATACTCGACCGTTCTATGTCTAGCTAACTCAATTTTGCTTTTATTTTCTAGTTTGTTATTTTTTTAATTAAAAGTTGATCTCTGAACTGGAAATACTGAAAGCACAATTACCTAAGCAGTGCTATTAGCCTACATTTATTATTTTTACATATTTCAAACAAAAATATTTTGATTATTATCTGTGACAGGTAGATATTTAATTTTTGTATTATTCTATATTGAAATTCTGAAAAGAATCACTCTGATTTTGAGCTTAGTTCAAGGGGAGCAAAGTTTGGGGTGCGGGACAACTCTTGGAATACTATTGGTATTAACAGTTTTTTTCTAGATTTTGCCTTCAGGTAACGAGTGTGGGTTAACATTCTGGACCTGCTGTCTGCTAGAACCTTCTGTGATGACACAAACATACAAGTGTGCATAGTGAGCACTGGCAGGGTGCCTAGTATGAGTGAGGAACTGACTTTTGAACGTTATGCTATTGAGATGAATTGAAGTCGTGACATCTGTGCAGTTCTGGAGAGAGTGCTACTACATTAATGCTTGTTTTTATTTTTGTGATGTAAAATAATTCACAGCTTTGAAGTAGCACTGCCTGGGTATAGGTTGAGTAGAACAACGGACTATTGTTTGAAGCAGCACTGAAATAGCAAACAGGAAGCGCCCTTACTTTGATCCCTACCAGAAGCATATTTTCTCTCTCTCCACTGTCAGTGGTTTGGCTAATCAGCGTGGGTGTCATGATGTTTAATGTTCAGTGACCAAATTTTCCTGAACAAAACCAAAATTTAGAAGACGTGTTTTGACAAGACTTGTATGTCATTTTTATGTGTGAAAACAGTCTGAGAGAATTATTTTATAAACAAAGGATTTTACATCTAATGTTAAATGTAACATTGTTGAATTTAACATTCAACAGCTCACAGATATTTCAGCGGGCTGAAGGACAAGAGGGTAATTGATGCCATAGTTACATGTACCGCCGTCATTATTTAGAGAATTTTAGACTGTTGACATATTCTTGATTTAATTTTGGCCTTTGGTGCTTATTATTCTGTTAATTCTTTTAAACTTTAATTTGCAGTTTACAATTCAAGAGCTCAAAAGTTTCTGAAGAAGTAACAGAAACTGGCCCTGAAGAAGTTGTTGAAAAACCTCCAAAGAAGAAAAAGAAAAAGAAGAAAGACCCAGAGACGTGTGACGTGGACAGTGTAACCACAAAGCAAGCAGATTTTGCAGATGACACCCCAAAGGAAGAGTCAGACCTGCAGGGTACAAATAATGTGAATGGCCTCTGTGAGGAAGAGCCAACGAAAAAGAAGAAGAAGAAGAAGAAGAAGCACCAGGAAGATCAGGACCAGGACCCTGTTTTCCAAGGCAGTGACTCCAGTGGTTACCAAAGTGACCATAAAAAGAAAAAAAAGAAAAGAAAACACAAGGAAGAAGCAGAATTTACCCCACCTTTGGCCTGCTCACCAAAAAAGAAAAGGGAAAAGTAATTTTCTTCAGTGCATTTTAAATATGGTTCAGATTTTAAGAGATTGATTTACACACGGTAGATGAGAAAATGTTTTGAATGATACGCAAAGGTTATATACACCAGTAGTTTACAAAACAGGGAACACTTGATTATCAAGAGTTGTAGATTCTGCGTGTAAGTGTTATCAAACTGACTAAGTTGATTTGAGGAGTCCAGTGCTCTTCACGTGTCATTTTATAGTATACACAATAAAAAGGCAAGAGCTGCTCTCACTCTTGAATCTTATATTCGTGTAGGTTTAACCCTTTGCCTAAAGCTGTATCTATCATCCCAAGACTAGCAAAAGGATTTTATGATGCAGTATTATTCATATTATTAAAGAATGAGATGATAAAGAATTAGAGTTAAGTTTGGGGTTTTGAGATGATTTGAATAGATTTCACCCTTAGTCATTACATGCTATTTTATTTTGCCTTTTAAAACTCAGGACATTTGCCAGTTTCCGGTTTTCCTTTATCATGGCTACTATAGGATTTCTGTTACTTAACTTTGAAAGATTTGCCAAAGAAGCTTCTGAAGTCTCCAGAGATCTTAAGAACTCTGCCACTACTGACTGTGTTGTGGGAAGCAGTGTCCACTGTTCTTTCCTTCCAGGTGCCTGTGTATCATTTTCTTTTTTCTTTACTTCTGAGAAGTCCATGGTAACAGCTGTTCTCTTATATTTCTTCCTTTGTGCCTCAAACATTCTCATTTTGCTGTGTTTTGGAAAAGAGTCTGATGAAGATGGGATAAGTGTGATTCTGACTAATGGGACATTTTCAGATAATTTTGTAATGATTGGAATAGGCTACTAGAAATTCTTCTGAAGGGGGAATGGCGGTGTATTGCTTTCATCGGGAAAGTGTGAAATGTGTGTTGACTAATTGGAAAACACCGAGTAATGAAGTGACAAGCTGATCAAGGTTAGGAATTGATGCATGGCCATATCCATTCATTCAACAGATACTTGGCCCTCTGCTTTGTGTAACACATTCTAGTAAGGCCCAGGGATGTGATACCAAACAAGGTAGCCGTAGTTCCTTCCATCAGGGCTTGTCACAGGAGAAACTGAGAAAGGTATGTGCTCACGCACACACAGAGTTTAAGAAAATGAGTGACTGTGTCAAATGCTGTGAAGAAAAGGATCGTCTCACGGTTATCTGTGTTAGTATCTGTACACACGAATAATTGAATTAAATACCCTGTGTCAGCCATTGATCTAGTATAGATAGTTCTGGAGTCACAGTTTAATGTCTGGTGAGGAATAAATGCTGCTAGTGGCATATCATGATCTGAGTCTCTAATGGCAGGACGTAGAGTCTGCAGAGTGGCAGGCATTCACATTTGTCCGCAAGTCATTGTGCCAGGCAGTGGAAGGGTTTAACCCCGTGTCTTTCATTATAATTGAAATTCATGTGAGTATTGAGCCCTGCAAATGTGGCCAGTCCAAATTAAGATTTATTATCCATATAAAGTATGTAACAGACTTTGAAGATGTAAAAAAAAGAATGTAACCTATCTCAGTTTTTATATTGGTGAAATTATATTTTGAGTATAATGGTTTAAATAAAATATAATTAATTTGAGTTTTTTTTCAGTTTATATTTTTACAAAAGGACACAACGCACGAGGCTCAAATTACCTTTCTCTTGGACAGTACTGGTTTAAAGGAAATATGAATTGAAAAAGGGTGGAAACAGCTATATTATCATGTTTGACAATATAGATAGTCAATATTTAGTAAAATAGTTCTGATTCCCTTTTGTAGTCTGTTTTTGTTGCTGCAGAGGAATACCTGAGGCTGGTAATTTATAAAGAAAAGTGGTTTATTTGGCTCACTGTTCTGCAGACTATGAGAAGCATGGTGCCAGCACCTGCTTCTGGCGAGGGCCTCCATGTACAGGGGAGCCAGCCCGTGCAGATTACATGGCAAGAGGGAAGGGAAGAGAAAAGATGCCAGGCTCTTTCTAACAACCAGTTCTCTTGGGAACTGAGAGTAATTACCTGTTCCCAGGACAGTGGCACCAAGCTATTGAAGGATCTGCACCCATGATCCAAAACCTCTTACCAGACCCCACTTCAATATTAGGGATCAAATTTCAACATGAAACTTGACAGGGCCAAATAAGCCATATCCAAACCATAGTGTACCCCTCATCCTCATAAATCAAGAAAAATGTTATTAAATTTGATGCTATTCAGGGAAAAATGTGGTTAGTGAAACAAGTACATTCCCATGTATTTTTACTTTGCATTGAGTCGTACCTGTGCCAATTGTGCTTTATGAAGGAAAAATGAGACCATATACTGAACTTGAAACTGAATTTGTTCATGCTTTTTTTCACAATGTGAGTAGCTTTAAAAAGCCAGATCTGTCCATTTGTCCCGCCTAGAATATAGTAACTATTTTTTATTTTTTCATCATACAAGAAAACCTGATGATGGTGTCCATCTGTCACATGTTACACTAACCGAGGCTTTGTCTTCTCTGTGTTGGAGTCTACTCACTAAAACCCTCTGGACCCCTTGCCGTCTCTCCAACTCCTGGCATTCACCAACTTTTCCTGAATGCCCAACCTTTTGGCTTCGTTGGGTCAAATTGGAAGAAGAAGAGTTAGTTGTCTTGGACCACACATTAAATAAATACACAAATGCAAAAACTGATGAGCAAAAAAGAAAAAGGTCTGCATCATTTTTGTGATATCTGCCACCACAGGTAAGTAAAGAAGTCCTACATAATAAACCTAATTTATACATCGGGACATTCAGAGAGTCTTAAAATTGTCAAGCAGAAGCCAATTTTGCAATCACTAATATAGAAAGTGAACATACTTAATAAAACATCTTTGGGATTTGGAGTTTTTTAAAAATATTTTTTATTATGAAAGAAAAGTGAGCAACATAAGACTAGTGGATATCTGACATTGTATTTGAGAAACCAAAGCATCAATATCTGGTTTGATTGAAGTAGTTGCATTTCCTTCTGAGTACTTGAGGGGCTCATCAGGTACTTTGATTCTAATTTTATTCTTAATATGCTTTGTTCTTTAAAACAGTTACTCGCAAATGTAGATGGTGCCAAAAAGCAATGATGTGAATGAGTAGGAATCTCTTTTCGTGTCCTTGATCATTCTTTTGGAATTATTTTCCTTTTACTACTCATTTATAAGAGTTCTCTATAGATTAAGAAGGTTGTGGGTTTTTTTTTTTTTTTCTGTTCATGTTCAAACAATTTTTGTAATTTATCTCATTGGTTTTCACTTTATCATTCATTTGCTGTTCAGAAGTGTGTGTTTTTATATAATCAATGCTCTCTTTGGTCTGAGTTTTATCTCAGAAGGTGTTCTTATGAAGGTATTTCCAATCTCAAGATTTTAAGATATTTTCCATATTTTCTTCCAATGTTTTTATCATTTTACTTTTTACATTAAAACTTTATCTGAAATGGGAATATAGTTTGATGCAGAAATTTATTTTTTCCCAAGTTGATGTCCATACGTCTCCAAATTTATTAGCTCATATTTCCTCTATTGATTTGAAGAGTATGGTAGGTTACCCTGCCTTCCACGTACTCTAAATGGTCCTGTTTCTCTTCTACTGATACACTTAGGTATTCTGACAAAAGGCCACATTGTTTATTATCCTAATACGGTAGCCAGAATTTCAAACAGCCCCTGAGATTTCCCAACTTAATCCTCACTGCGGGAAGATGATGAACTTCACCTCCGCGTAGGTTGTTTTGTTTGTCACTATTGGCCTAAAGAAAAGCAGGTCGTGGATGGGTCAACTAATCTTGTGGGCCATTTACAGTTAGGGAGTTTTCTCTAAGCTAGTGGCAGAAGGAGTGAGAAAGATTTGAAGCATGAGAAGAATTTGGTGGAAAGGAGTCTTCTTTATTGAAAACGGAGGGGCCATGTGGCCAGGGGCTGAGAAGCTGAGCCCAGGCCGACAGCCCGCAGGAACACAGGCACCTCCGCGCTCCACCTGTAAGGACCTGAAACCTGCCAATGGCGAGAATGAGACCGGAAGCAGATCTTTCCCCAGACCCTGCAGCTGAGAATTCAGCTGGCTAACACTTTGATTTCGGTCTTGTAAAATCTTGAAAACCCCTCACGCCTTCTCAGATTTATGACCGACAGAACTGCGAACTCCTGAGGGTGTTGTTTTAAGCCACTGAGTTTGTGGTGATTTGTGAAATAGCTATAGAAAACTAACCTACGTAGCTTTATGGTACATTTTGACGTCTAACGTAGCTTTTTATCAGATATTTTCAGTGTTGGTTGGATTGGTGCATCTCTTGCATGTAGTCTTCTGGATATACTTAAAAATATATTTTGTGAAGCTAGAAAAAAAGCTTTCCGGAGCTTTGGTTGGAATCTCTTACTTGAGTGATTAATTGAAAGACAATTGAATGCTGTGTGAGACTTCGTTTTCCTAGTCAGTAAACCTGTGAAGTCTCCTCCATTATTCAAGTCTATTAGATCCTCCAATAACACTAAATTATTGTCTGTTTCATATATCTTCAGTTTATTTCCAGGAATTTCATAGAATTTCTGGCTTTTATTTTAGGGATTCTTTTTTTTTTTTTACTTTTTTTTTTCTTTTAAAGTTATACTTCCTACTTGTGTAAGAAAGTATTTGATTTCATATACTAACCTATCTGGCCAGAGATGCCAAAAGTTTGTTTGTACATTTTATTTGCTTTCTGAGATTACCACTGGTTTTACTTACCAATTTTGTCTGTTCATTAATTGTTATTCTTCACTAAATTCTATATTTTGTTTTATCTTTCAGCTTCTTCATTTAAATTCTTAGTTTCCATTTAATTTCGAACTTTCTCATTTGCTAATTAAAGCTTTTGTCTAAAATCTTCCTTTCTGGTTTTGGTCTTGTAAGTATCCTTTCCTACATAGTGTTTTCATTAGTTTTAGTGTCTTCTAGATACTCTGAAATTTCACTTTTGGGTTTGTCTTCTTTTTTTTAACACATGAATTATTCAAAAGTTTTGTTAAAATTTCTAAGAATGTTTGTTTTATTTTATTTATTTATTTATTTGAGACAGAGTCTAACTTTGTGGCCCCTGGTAGCATGCTGTGGCATAGCTCACAGCAACCTCAAATTCTTGAGTTTAAGTGATTCTCTTGCCTCAGTCCCCAGAGTAGCTGGGACTACAGGCACCCGCCACAACGCCCAGCTATTTTTAGAGATAAGGTCTTGCTCTAGCTCACAGCTGGTCTCGAACTCATGAGCTCAGGCAATCCGTCCACCTTGGCCTCCCGGATTTATTGTCGTTTTAATTGGTATCTTTTAGTTCTTCATTTCTACTTGTACTGTACATTGTGGTCTTCAAAGGTAAGCTCTTATTTCTACTTTTGGAAATTGAGATTTTGAGGAGGCCAGTATATAACCCAATCTTTAAAAGCATATTCTTTAGTTACTTGAGAAGAATATCTTTTTGTAAATATACAAAGTACTATTTTAAACATAGATTTCATATAATATACAGTGAGAAAAAAGTGAAAATAATGGATAATTTTACATATGATGTGACTGTGGCATTTCTGCTGGCAACGTATGTAAATTCGATAAATATTCACTCAAAGAACATTAGTTTTCTCAGTAGAAACAAGATGTTCAGATGTTTGGTTTACTTTGTCTTCCAAACCTCTGCCTTTGTGGTAGAGAATGACTTGGTGATATTGTTTTGTCCTCTGCTCTTTCAAATAAATATCTGGTGCCCTGGATCATCTTAATGTCCAGTTAGTTATCTTTGCTGAGACATTTGAAGCTAAAAGTGTTCTTATTGATTTGATAACTTATCCTGAATGTGTTTGAAAGTTTTCAATAAGACCAAAATTTAATAAGATATAAAATCAGAGTAATTAAAAATAAAAGCTAATAAATCAACTATAATTTCAACAACAAATAAACTATAGTCTGTATAGCTCTAGGTAATTTGTTGCATATTCACTAGATACAATTTAAAAATGCTCTGGTACTTACTGACTCATGGAAAACCACAACAAATGAAATACCTTGCCAATTCTTGTCTTAGTAAATAGCTAGGAAGAGAGGCTAAAAGGTCCATCAAAGAGGAACATAATTAGAACTTAAAAGTAAAATGTATTAGTAAATAAAATGACTTAGAAATTTATGAAATTATGAGCAAGAGAGGAAATATCTAAATTCAATGTATCTAATATGTGGAAGAATTTTCTGTTAATTCTGCATCCCACCATATTTTGTTAGAGTCCAATGTCAATATGTCAATCACCAGTTAAACGAGATTCTTATAAGCATCAAAAAACACCATATTTTGTGTGTATATGTGTAAAGGAATCTGAAATAATATTAACTCTTCAAAAGTAATGATTAAACAAAAGTAATTCAATGCCCAGTATTCTCAGATATCCATACTCAGTTTTTTTATTGCTTACTTTGTATCTATTAGGAACTGTGAGGAGTATGAGATTTTACACTAGTCTGCCACACTTGATCCAGATTGCTTCTGAATCCCCCTCACTTGAACAAGTGCTAGTA